TGCTTATGCTTGTGCTTGAATTGTTTGATATCTCTATGCGTGTATGCTTATATGAACGTATGTGCTTTAATTCTTGTGCTTGATCTTCATTCTTCTTTAGTCATCCACCTTAAACCATATTGATTGTTAATCAATATAAAAGTGGATGTGCCATAAAATCAATCTTTTTAAGATACGTTGCAAACGTTTGATCAATATCAAGTTGCTTTTCCATTTCACTTCGCGCTCACGCCAATTCTCAATTCAATTCAATAAACCTTGATTAACACCAAGTTCTTTTTCAAATTTTTTCATAGTAAAAAATATTCAAAACACTTTAAATTATCGAATCTAGTTTGATTTATAATGAAGGAATCAAAAAGGGTTTGTACGTACTTATGCAAATTGTTCTTTAAAGTATTTAGGCTATATGATCGTTTTAAGCTTTTGTTTGAATGATTGTATTCCATTAAAGACCCTTGAAACTTGATTCATCTCATCATTTTCACAAAAAAACTTTTTTGATTATCACCATTTAAAATCAATCACCAACTCATCAAATTTCTTTTTCCGCCTTCGTGCGACGTCAAGCCTTTTTTCATAAATCAGATATGTTTCGTTAATTTCAAGACAATGCAAACAACGCTTCTACATGTGAAGATCAAATATTTTCCGTTTGAATGTGATCGAATATCTCTCGCTAAAATTAACCAACAAACAAACATTTTCTATACCATGAACTACGAGGCTATGACTTTCTCATTGCACTATGAGGATACGTAGGAACGAAATTTTTAAATCTTGGCGAGCATAATAATAAATAAAATCTGAAAATCCTTTCTTTCTTTCTCCTTGCATAATGAGTAGAGAATCACAAGTAGATATCATGCAAACATTCGATCACAAGACTAGCTAAATGGGTATCATTGAGTACAATGAATGTGAGGGGTTCTAGTACCTTCCCCTTGCATAACTGACTCTCAACCCATAATTTGGTCGTGATGACCATTTGTCGTTGTTTGTAGGTTTTCTCGATATTTTCCCGTTCTTTTTGGAATAAATGAAATTTGGTGGTGACTCTCTGTCATATTTTGAGCGTGTGAACGCTCGAGTATTTTTCACGCCGCGACACTTCCTCACATAAAGCTATATTTACTTTGCTTAAATATTTATTAAAAGTAGTCATTAGATTATTGCGTATAAGCATTTTTTTCTCCAATGAAAAAAACTTTTCACATCAAAACATATTTTTAGTCTTCAAAATTGAGAGTAATCATAAATACTCTCAAAACTAAAAAGATTCACTCAATGATAGAATATTTTCATGTGTCAAATAATCTGTATAAACATCAAATTCACATAATTGGAGATTCTCATAAGGGAACAACTGGTTTTGAGGAAAATTATCATCTTGAATTGCTTCGATGGAATCCTCTTTTGAAGATATAAGAAGTGGTAATGATGGTGATGGTGATGATGGCGGTAATAAATTTTCTTGTTTATTTGGAATGTTGCTATCAAAACTAAGTAACATAGAAGAGTCATATGACAAAACTGGTTCAAAATTTGTATATGATTGAATATAACTTTTGCAAGTGTGATGGCCATAATATGTAGTCTTATACAACAAATGATTATCTTGAGTTCTTTGAACATGTTTTATTGCTTTACAATGTTGATCATTGTTTGTGCACTTATAGTAGCACCTGCATATATATTTATTCAATTAAGTTTTGAATCATATACAAATTTAAATTCAATTTTAAACTCAATTTATTTTAGAATAAATTTAAAAAAAAAAGTATTAAAATTCTAAAAAGGTTATACATAGTGTTTCTTCATTAGTCTTATTATATTATGGATGTAGACGAAAATTGTAAAATTGACGAATACCTGAAGTATTTTGTATTTTTTATCGCTTTTTGTCCATATTTTCTCCATGTATGACCATCATCAATCAATATTGAAGTTGTTTTCTCCCATGTTGGTGCACATAACCTTATATGAAGACAATAATATTAGCTAATTAATGATGATTTCAACCAAATATTTTCATCACTAATGAAAATATTACTAATGAACTATTAATATATCTTTAATTATCCCATTACATATGTAATGATGACCATTTATAAGTATGGAAGCCTAGTTCTTTTACGGATAAAAAATATAGTCATTATTTGTGTTAAACCATTGTATAAATAATTTTGTTGTAAATAGATAAGTTTGTTAGGTTAGAGATACCATGCTTATGAAATATGGGATAAGATACACAAGACCTTTAATGTACTTATGAAATTTAGGGGTCATCAGTTGAACCATGAATTAAAGATTGTGAAGAAAACAAACTGTTTAGTCTCTGAGTATGTATTGTGAATTCAAGCTATTGTCAGAGAACTCCTTGCTATTGAGGATAAAATTTCAGAAAAGGGGATTAAATCAAGAAATTACTTCAAGGGCTTCCTAAAAAATATAATTTATTTGTCATGATGATTTATGGAAAAAATTTAGCCCTATACTCTATATGATATTGAAGCATTTTTGTAAGTGTAAGAAGCACAATATGATAAAATTCGTCAATAACTATTTGCAACTAATGCAACTACTAATGTTGTTCACTGTGAGAATAATCAACATTCTGGTGAAAATCGCGGTGGTTGTCTAAAGACCAGTGACATGGGATGCAATAATCATAGCTGTGGAAGGTTTAATTTGGGCTCTGGAAGTTGTCTTACATGTTGACTCTGTTGCAAGTATAGTTATGTTATTATTAATTGTTGGTTTCTCTATTGATTTAGATTAGTCAAAGGCATAAGCTATTTTCTCTTCAAGTCAGACAAGTGGGAATGCAAATCAAAATAATCAAGAAACCACATTTTTCAAAGCTACAACACTTCTAGCTCATCATGATGATTTTCGTGTGCTATCAAGTTTAGATTCACACACAAGATTTTCACTCTTAGAGACTTCCCATCATATTACATCTAATAATTCCCACTTACATAGTACATTTTTTTATAATGGATCAAATATGATTATGGTCAAGGCTTACAAATTAAGCCGATGGCTCATCCAAATTTAATTCCAATACACTGCTCAAACTTTTTGTTGTTTTCGGATTTTGAAATATTTGTCATCGAAATGTTAAAAATTATGCAAAGTAATCGAACTACCGCGCCGCCTCTAGGATAAAACAACTCAGTTTTATACTGTACGATTACTACTTGCATGGTATCAATACCACTCGGATAATGAAGTAAGGTAGTTAATATTTCTCACATGAACAATGTGAAACTAAATGATATTTTCCAACCAAAAAGATATTCTAACAATATGGGATTTGAGAAATTTTTAAATTCAACATATTGAAATATGGACATGTTCCAACACTTTTCTTGATGCTTCAAGTATACTTGTAATATGTTTTATGTGTCTAAGTTTTTGAACTATAATAATGTATTTTTTGAGTTTCCCTCTAACAATTGATATGTCAACAAATCTCATGCATCTAAATTGGCATTTCTTCAAGGATTCTTTGATGCAAGTAGATTATATAATTTTTCTTAATCTTCATTTGGAATCCTCAAGTAATTATTCTAGTAGCTAATTTAGAGTTGTGCTTCATGTTGTAAATAACACAATTGCAATTAAGTTATATAGCAATGCAAACTCAAGTTCTTATATTATTTCACTTTGGCATTTTAACCTAGGTCTTGTAAACTCCATAGAAATTTAGATTGTTCTTATTCTATGTAATATACATTCGACCAATAAATTTTTTGTTGAATTTTGCAATTTTTGTTATCTGAGAATTCTCATAGACTCGATGTTCCATTGTCTAAAATTGTACACTTATCACCTTTTAAAGTAATACATATTGATTTGTAGGGCATTTTCTCTATAGGTCGTAGATATTCTTATTATATAGATTTAGTTGTTGTCTTTATTAAATACATTTCGATCTATTTTCTAAATAAAAATTCAGATTCTTTATCTTCTCTTAAACTATTTCAAGCTTATGTTAGTATATAATTTATTTCTAAAATTAAAGTAATTCAATCTGATTTTAGGAGAAAGTTTATGATTTTTACAAAATTCTTAAATAAACTTTGGATTGTTCACCGACTAACATGCTCTCATACATTCCACCAAGATGGAACAATACATAAAAACATAGGAAAAAAATGTTTGATATAGGTTAATCATACTACCTCGTGTCTTTTTTTCAATTAAATGTTGGGATAATAAATTAATATAAACAATGTCTTTTTAAATTGAATTCTTCAAGAAGAAGTATATATATGAAATCGTATAAGGCCTTATATGGTCTTAAACAGGATCCAAGAGCCTAATATGAGAAGATTTATCAAACTCTTTTCTAGTTTAATTTTTCTTTTAGAAAATACGATCGTTCTTTTTGCAAATTTGAAGCAAAATATATAGCATTGGTTCATACAACTTTTGAGTTATTGTAGTTTGAATATTTATTATCTAATTTAAACATTGTTTATCTTCCACCTAATTTGTTATGTGTTAAACTAAGTACATTGTTATTATCTCATCATTCAGTGCTATATGCTCAAACAAAACATATTGAATTTGACATCTAATTTATTCGCTAAATTATATTATAAAAATAAATAAGTGTGATATAAGTCAGAAAGACCAAGTGGTTATTCAAATAAAAAATTGGTTAGAAGTTCCAAATGTATCATGTACCAATTTCTCTATAAAGAGAGCATTTGTCCTTGATTGAATAAATGAATTAAAAAATGTATAGATAAAAGATTTCACAACCTGCCGTTTCTATTTTCTACTATCTAGAAGTTTCGTTCAAGTTTAAAAATGTATAGTTAAAAAAAACTTAAGAGTAAATTAAAATGATTGCTGAAATAATAGCTTATCCGATATCCTAAAGAGGACAAATAATTATGAAAATTACTACTATAGTAAAAAAAAAAAAAACTTCAAAACAAGTCAAATTATTATAGGAACATAGTATAAGACATGGATTATAAATCTTACTTTTTCTTTTTCGATTCCTTTGGACTTTTGTTGTTGAGAGTTTGAAGTTCTTTGTAAGCTCCATCCAAATCCTCCTCCATCTTTTGGCCATTGGTAGAGAAAGATAAATCTCTAACTATTAAAACATCATTGGAATCTTCTCTTTTGTTCAAATATAAAAGTGTATTTGTCAATGATTTGAGCACCTCTCGAACAAGATCTTGAGCAACATCTAAAGGTAACACTTTTGATGATTTTGAGTTTGACCTTTTGACTTCCCTAATAACATTCGACTTATCATCAAAAGAAAGTACCTCAAGTAATTGATTTGCTATGTCACGTCCTCTAATAAGCTCTTCTTCCATTGCCTTTTTGTCATTTGTAAGAAACCAATCTAGATTCTCCATTTTTTTTGGTAATGAAAATTTGTTACACTTTGCTAAATCTAAAACTAGGTTTAATATTGGATATGAAAAATTAGAGAGGGGGCACGTCCTTTTATTCAACTCGGAACTTTTCTTCTTGCAAATTTAAAATTTGTTCCTATTTGAGAATAATATAATTATAGAAAAAATCTATGATTAAGTAATCCATTTCTCACAGCCAAAAGTGGTACGTCAAGAATACAAGACATATGTAATTTCAATGCAAGAGAAGCGAGTGTCGTAAGAAACTACTTTAAAAAATTGGTTTCTAGTTAAGTACTATTTTTAATTCAAATTCAAAGATATTTCAAATTAAGATTAATTGTTGTGTATTATTAATGTAAATATTTTTACATGATCAATATATCACAATTATTTATAAATATTTTTTTATAAATAATTAAAATTAAAATTAAAATTAAAATTCAATAACAGTTACAATAATGTAAATTTCTTTTTATATTATTGGTATACACTAATTAAATTTTTTTAACTATTTTTATCAATTGAGATTCAATGGTTTTTTATTATTTTAAAACTATCGTGATCTAGAGTATTTTTAAAATTTTTTAAAACATAAGTACATTAGCCACGATTCAATCATAAAAAAAATTAAATTTTTTTATAGTCTAATTATAAAAAAATATTTTATTAAATTCTATTTATATATGATTTAATCATAAAAAATTTAGAATCTTATGTGGGTCGACTATCCGTCACACTTTCAAAGAAAATCATGGATAGACTTTAAATAATTTAAACCTTCATAAAATATATATGAATTTTACTACTACCTTTATCTTTAAATATAATACTTGTTCTGGACTGGACTGACACTTGCCCCAATGTTGGGGAGGTCTAATATAACGTCTTTATCAAAGATCCAAAAACGTGCAGCCAAACTGAGGATCGTAGGCATTTTCCAACGTGTCCATTAAGAGAACATAACTCGCGTGTCCATATCATCATCATCCTGTCCTCCAAGAATAACGGGTCCAACTCCCACTTTCTCGGGGCAGTTCACCAGGGAGGAGGTCACATGATGGACTTCATACACCCGTAAATCCTGACAGTCTTCGTTGCTGGGCCTCATCGTAGCCCATCACTGAAGATGCTGGCCCAGCGTTGGGGGCTATAATCTCACTTGAGAGGGTCAGGTATTCAATCACTCACTCATCTTCTCATACTTATTTGCATTTGCTCTGAACCTTACTTTGGCATTAGAGTGTCTTGTAGGTACCCCTCACTTCACATTCAACTGCCGCTCAACTCGAAGCTTGTGGCTTTTGACAATCCCTCTTGATCAGGTACGACCAGTGGAGGCGCCTGTGGGAACCCAACTTTCTTGTCTCCCTCTCAAGACGAAAGCAACTTTTCATCAAACCGTATGATTGTCATGGCCGACCAAGCTGTCGATGATAACCAAAATGCACATCTCACTGACCCCAACAACAACAATGTTGGGGACAACAATATTGGCAACAACAACATAGACAACAACAAGACATGGCTGGTCCCGAGAAAGAATACAGAGACAGATTGACCGCCTTTTCATCAACCCGCTCGCAACCGCGCGAGGACTACTATCATCATCCATAGAACTATGAACCCAATACATACCATGTGATCCCCATCTCTGCAGGTGCTGACGCCACAACCAAAGCTCTATTCGCACCAATCAACCAGACCTACTACATGATATTCTCACAGGGTAAGCGGATGATGATGCTCGAGCAGACTCGCTAGGTCCCTAGAGGACACAGGAGACCTGACACACCTCCTCCTCCCTGACGGATCGAGGACCTTCCCCGATCTCCCCTGCAGATACACAGACGGGATGGCTCGTGAAGCCCTTCTCCTCGACAAACTGGGCGAGGCCATGCGTTGGAGAAGAGCAAGCCCGAAGTTGTGAGGAAGCGCAATCACACCCCCTGCGCAGGGAATGAATATCCCCTGAACATAAAAGAAATAAGGGAAATGAAGAAAGATAATCTCGACCAAGGGATCCTCCCCGTGGCCAAGGCCGTCACATGACCGCCACTACAACCGGTCCCTCTCCCGCTCTTCAGACAGAAGCGACGAAGACGACCCCCACGGTCCATTATCCCAAGCTATCATGGAGGCTCCCATTCCTAAGGGAATGGATAAACCTCCCCTACTAAAGGAGTCTGATGGTATTGTTGATCCTGTCGACCATATCGATAGGTTTGAAGCAATGCTCCACTAGCACAACGTCGGAGGCCCAATTAAATGCAGGTTGTTCCCCAAGACATTGAGAAAACGACCATGGATTGGTACAAGAACCTCTCCCCGGGTCGATCACCTCCTGGAGGAGCCTTAAAAACCATCTCATCAGCAGCTTCATTACGCCTCATCGACATATGAAGACTGAAGCCACCCTTGAAAAAGTCGTCAAGAGAAGTGATTATACCCTCAGGGAATACATTAATCGGTTCAACTGCAAGGCCATTCAGGTGTCGTGTTCCGATCACATGAAAAGATACCTGCTCGAGAGGGGACTCCTTCCGGGCACTAAATTCAGAAAGACCGTTGGTATTAAGCCCTCTAGATCTTTCTACACTCTCCTCGAAAAGGCCCAGGCATACATGGACTACAAGGAGAAAGAAGCAGCCAATAGAGCTCGTGATTCGAGGAACCATAAACCAGCTAAAATCCTGCGGCACCAGGACGCATTCCCTTCTCGACAGATGGGAGAGAAGAGAAAGGAGGAGAAATCGCACGATCCCCACGAGCATAGAGGATCAACGGGATAGTTCACCGAGTACACCCCGCTGACCATTTCCCACGAGCGTATTCTTACGGAGTGATCTAATACCGAGTTCAAGGATGGAAGCTTCATACGTCCTTGACCCGCCTCTACAAAGCTCGGGGAAGATAGAGAAAAATACTGTTAGTATCATTGGAGCCACTGGCACTTGACGGAAGACTGCATCCGCCTAAAGGATTCCATCGAGACTCTCATCAAGGGTGAGAAACTCGGGAAGTACAGAAGAAACGATGCCCCTCGCCAAGATACCTGCGAGGTAAAAGAAATTGAGGAAGAAACCTGACCATTTGATGAATCAGGTCCCTTCCAGGTGTCTTTCTCCATCACGAGGTTCGAGGACTTCCTCGTCCCCGAACGCTACGAAGATGAACCTTTGTCCATACACAGCAGATAGGAGAAATTCCCCTCTGCCATGGTCATATCTGGAAGGGGATTCAACGATATCCCAGTAAATTCGGTAAAGAGGAAAATCGATGAGTTGGTGGACGCGGACCCAACCCAGACAGTAACCCTTTAAAGGTTCAAAGGAAAATTTGAGCCGTTCAATTTCTACCTTGAGGAGTTGCCCGACGGAGCCCCAAACTCAAGCATTCCTCTGCTGGTGAGGGAGAGGATGGCCAACTTCGACGTACATCGCATTCTGGTCGACGAGGGGAGTTTCTTCGACGTCATGTACAATCACCTATTTTGTACCCTGCAGCTCGATGATACCCACTTTTCACCATATGTGGGGTCTTACCTGCAAGGATTCAACGGCTCGACCTCCAAACCTTGGGGCTACATTGAGCTCTTTGTCACCTTCGGGGAAGAAACTGCTTCCCGACAGGTCAAGGTGCAGTTTCTGGTGATCGATTGCCCGTCTCTCTATAACTGTATCCTGGGAAGACCAATGTTGGCCAAGCTGACCTCTGTACCCTCCACGGTCCATTTGAAAATGAAATTCTACACAAGGAGGGCCAGGATCACCACTATCCATGAGGACATCTCAGCTGCCAGGAGATGTTTTCAAACGACTTCCATAGTGAAAAGCATTGTCGACACTGGAGCGTGACCTGCCAAAAGAGAAACCACTGCACGACTTGAACCAAAGCTTGCTCGGATCGAAGAACAACAGGCTCCACCAAAGGTCGACTCCAATTTGCTTGACACCCGCTTTGACAAAAATGAAGTCGAAGCCCCCAATGGCGAACATGATCTTCTCAGGCCTATCCCAGATGGAGACTTCAAATTCATCCCCCTCGGCGAAGATCCTCACAAAGGCATGAAGATCCACATTGGACTCCCCGACCTGACGAGGAAGCAACTCAAAGCCTTCTTAAGGGAGAACACTGACTCGTTCGCATGGAGTGCTGCAGAGATGCCTGGACTCGACCCGGAGATCTCCTGTCACCAACTCTCCGTGGATCCGGCCGCTAGGGCAGTAGTGCAACATAGGCGTAGGCAGTCTCCTAAAAAAGCGGAGGCTGCGGAAAAAGCTGTAAAAGACCTCCTAGAGGAAAATTTTATTTCTGAAGCCCAGTATTCAACCTGGCTCTCAAATGTTGTACTTGTCAAGAAAAAATAATAGAAAATGGAGAACGTGTGTTGATTATACCGATCTTAATCGGGCATGTCCCAAAGATGCTTTTCCTTTACCTAACATTGATATGTTGGTCGATAACTCGGCTAACTATAAAATTGTATCATTTATGGACACCTACTCGGGCTATAACCAAATTCCTATGGCGATGAGCGACAAACATTACACTGCCTTCATAATCGGCTAGGGCGATTACTATTACAACGTAATGCCCTTCGGCCTAAAAAATGCAGAGGCAACATATCAGCGGATGATGAACAAAGTCTTCCGCGACGAGATCTGAGACATGCTCAAGGTATACATAGAGGATATGATCGTTAAATCTCGGACAGAAACCGACAATGCTGCCCACCTCAAAAGAGTCTTCACCCAAGCAAGGCAATGCAAAATGAGATTCGACCCAGAGAATTGCACCTTCAGGGTCAAGACGGGAAAATTCCTCGATTTTTATCTAACCAAATGGGGAATTGAAGCCAACCCCGACAAATGTGGAGCCTCCTCTGAGTTTTCCATGCCAAACTCAAAAAAATCCATATAAATCCTAAACGGCATGCTCACCTTGCTTTCCTGTTTTGTGGTGAAGTCCGCGCAATACACACTACCATTTTTCAAACT